CTGGGTACCCTGGTTGCCACACTCCAAATACATGCTGGTGGGTTAATTGTTTCCTGTCTAAATGGCTCTACAATGTGTATATATGCAAGTGAGATAGGGACTTTAGTTTGTTAGCTCCCTGGGGGCAGAGACTGATGTGAATGTACCATATGTAAAATGGTGTGTAAATTGTTGACACTACAGTATATACAATACATACCTGTAATAAATAAAATAATGGTAGTGGCAAGCAGTACCACTAGAAGTGAACTTATGATATTACCACTGTGAGTGCCGTGACTATGGAGGACTCATTCTAACCCCAAAGACAGAAGCCGATAATAGAAAAAGCTGTATCCCTGGCAGATCCTTTATTTCTTTTTCAATGAGCTTTGTGCATTGTTCACTCTGGAATAAAATTTATTGAAGAGGAAATGAAGGGTTTGGCAGTGATGCAGCTTTTTCTATTACATACACTGGCTCTCTTGTTTGACCTAAACTTCTAGACAAGTCTTATGCCTTACCTACTTTTTCCATAATTCTTCTGCCATCTCTACTATCCATAATACTGCATCTATGGGGAGAGAGAAACAGCAGCTTGCTGACATGGTCACTCATAAGTCCCTGCAGATTTCCACAGCATGGGTCACCTCACAGTGTGGCACATTCATAGGGAGCACTTCCCCAACAATGACATGAGGAGCACTTCAAAATAACAGTGGATAACCAGTGTCATGGAAGAGTGTCTAGAACATCCTATTACACATGGTGAAAGCTTATTTAATGAAGTCTCTGCGGTCAGTAGCCTGACCTCACCCAGTGCCCCTCAATGCCTGAGAGGGTATACAATTGTCAAATAATACAGCCCTATAGTTAGGAGGAAAGTATACACAACTAGTCAGGATCAGAAAAGCTAAATATAGGGGCAAATATAAATCTTTCATAAGTAAGGCTACACAGGAATAATAATATGACTAAATATGCAAATTCTAACCTGGTTGTGATTGGTTCTTTAAAAAAGTGTTGAGTTTTAATTGCTGGAAAATACATTTGCATTCCATGTACTAAACAATATTTGGCAGCTGTACACATATTTCCTTGTTTCTTTCAATCATCAAAAAAGTATTTTTGCCAAATTGCAATTGTTTTGCCAAATTTAATATAACATTTTGGGACATGTTGTATCTGTTCTTCATGGTATACATACTATAGAAGTGAGACACAATTGCTTAGAGAAAAACTCCAGCCAACATATACATACAAAATGATAAATATATATTGTGAGAATAATTATTTGTCTGTATTTTTCTAAATTCATTGCTTTGTAAAGATCCTGTTGCATCTCAGTCTCTGCAGTTTGTTTAGGATGCACTGGACAGTGGACGCAGTTTCATTTAAAAAACTGGACTCTACCACAACCACAAATAAGATGGGAACTTAATTCGAACATCGGTACAGGTACTAGCAAAAAAGTAATAAGCATATATCAATAATATAATAAAACTTCAGCCTTCTTTGTCATCTGGAGTTCTATTACAGGCCCATTTATCATTTGTCTTAGAGAAAACCTATCAGTGTCAGTTCCTTTGTGATTCATGTGCAATGTAAGTTTCAGCCTGTTCATTTGAATGGGCTGAAATTGGAATGGATTGCACTGCACGGCTTTTGAAAATGCAGCGCAACCAGATTGCATGGTACTAAAGTACCATGCGATCCAGTGCAAGATTGTGTTAACAATCTGCATTTGACATGTCATTAGGAATCTATTGACACCCACAGCAGATCACACACCCAGTGCATTTGGAACGCAGTGTGGGAAATGCTCACGGAAACACTGCAATAAAGCCTAGCCCAGGTACCTGGGTGCTCTACAGAAAAGAAATGATGGCATGTAGACACCTAGAGGTATTTTCTCTTTGAAATGATTGACAGTTTAAATTTCTGTGAGCAAAAGCTTGGTTTTAGAGACATGATAAACAAGGCAGATTATGTCAAATGTAAAGTAATGCATATTTGAGATTTTTTATTTTATTAAGAGATCCAGAATGTTTTTTTTTAATTAACTGTGTTGTTCAGTGGGTTTATTTATTGTACAGAAATGTCTACTTAGATATATTAGTGTTAGAAAATATATATGCAAAACATAAAGACAAAGTTACAAATAATTTGTCAGTGACATTATAAATGGCTCATAACGTTTGCTTCTAAGTTTCTTTAGCTGGTCATACCATAACAGATTTATTTCATCTAAGGACTATTAATAACTCTGTTAAGAAATAAATGTGATACAAGTATGGGATCTTGGCTGTTTTATATAAAATCATAAAATTAGCAAGATTTACATTTTTAGGCCTGCTCCACATGACAAGACTGGTTTATGAAAGTTTATTATCCATAGCAATTAAATGTGTTATTTTTCTAATTTGCCTTATCAGATATCATTCCTATTAAGGATAACATAACCACTCTTTTGGTACTTTTTTTGTAAATCACAAATAAAACAAAATATGGTTTTATGGGCACCTTGTGCCATGTACATCCTTTTTGTAGTTTGCACAAGCTAGTATATGTGTGTGCATTGTCTGTACGTATGGCTGATCAGTGGATAGAACAGTTTTTAAGTCCTTTTTCTTTAAAGATATAATATACTGTATTATTAAAATTTTCTAGCTGATGCTGGCAGGGGAATACTAGCTTTGCTAAACAAAAATAAACAGCAATAATTCATCTGACTATTCCACCCAATCTGTAAATGGCACCAGATGGTCCCTTTCACCAGCTTAGCAGACATAAGCAGACATACAATGAGAATTTTTACTAAAACTAGAACTTGTTAACAATTCTACATGCTGAAATGCATAAACAGAGTTTGGAAAAATTCTTAACAATCCTTCCCAAGAAACTGATATTCAAGTAGGGCTTAAAACTCACAAATGGTCCCACCTCAAACTGGAACCACATTTTTTAACTAAAGCCAAGGGAATAACTAAGACTACTTAGGTACAATTTCATAACCAAAAACTCTCCTGTATGAAAAAATAGCATTGACAAAAATTTTAGTGGATTGACTGACAGGACATGGTTTTTATTCCTATTTTCTTGCATGTAGATCTGGCATATTTTGAATCAGTACGCTTTGGCATGCTGGTGGTCTGCACCTTTTCGGTACTCAATCCACTCTCACATGATGGAGGAGAATGTTCCTCTTTACAATCAGAATGGGCAGACAGAAAAGATTACATGAAGTGTTGCCATCATGCAGTGCATCAACCCAAGTGCTCTGAGAAATTTGCATTGATATCCCATGGACAGTATCATTTAGTAAAATTAAGTTTTAGCCATTTTAAATCTAGCAAAACAGGATATTCATATCTTGATTATATTTTTTTGATTTATCTTTGCTAGTGATAACACGCTGGTATGACTAGCATTAGACAGATAGGACTTGCAGGTCTTGCAACTTGGACATTCATTATTTAGAGTAGTTTTGACATTACTGTGTTGCCCTACACTTCATTCTCATTTATGCACTTCAATTTCTGTGAAAGGCTGTCAGAGCAGACATTTCCTTCTCTGTGTTCCTGAAATGTCACTTGGATCAATCTATACTGAATAATCTGGTGGCTCTACAAAGACCTGTCACCTTTAACCAAAAGACCATGCCAAGATATACATGTGGGATGTTTAACAACTTGCTTTTCCTCTGAAGACAGCTAGAAAGGCCAGAATGTCTCAAAATCATCATTAGGTTGCATATTTTAGATGTTTGTTATTCTCTAATGAAACCTGCTTGCTTTAGATCCCCTCTTTTACACCCATGTTTTTCCAGTTTTTACAAAATTCAGTATCCCAAGAATAAAACATAAAAGCCCCCAGATTCTCTTTCTTGGCAGAGAGGAGGATTGCAGTTTAGGTTATATTGAGTTTTGCGGACCAGCTAACGACTCCTTACATGTGTATCAGATAAGACCATTGCCATGTATTCCAAAACCTAGAAATACCACAGAAAGGTCCCCAGATTTCCTATTATGGCATAGCTGGAGGTTTATATCAGGGGAGATGCTGTATTAAGCCTTGATGAGCCGACAGTGACTACAACTCTTGCATGTGCATTATATAACACATGGAGGACCCCAGATCACTTATCATGGCATAGCTGAAGGTTTACGACTGGGGTCATAAGAAGACTTACTGACTTGACAGTAACCACTCCCTTTGCTTGTGCATTAGGTAACACCAGTGCAAATATGTAAGGGTCTGTACAGTATAACCCTTATATGCTGCACTGTGCCATTAAATCAATAACTGGAGATAAAGTGCTCAGAAGGAAAAAAAAGATGTTGCAATTCTTTATGTAGACACTATCATTCTTTTTTCAATGTCTCCCCCTGGGTAAGGATTCACTGATGAGAGAGAGAGAGAGAGAGAGAGAGAGAGAGAGAGAGAGAGAGATCAGAATTAACCTCCTGCGTGTTCTCTCATAAGCAGTTTCCTTTAAGCTTTTTAATTTTCTCCAGCATAATTGAATTAAATGCAATACAATTTCATCTAGGGCAAATGGATTGACAGTGATGGCAAACACAAGGTCAGCTGTATGAAAACTATTATATACCACTAGCACCTATAACAACCTGGAGTTGATGTTATTATAGCTACAGCTAGTCTTATACAACATCCTCTCATTCACTACAACACTTAGTATATGGTAAACCCAATGTTTTGTGTAGGCTTTTGTAGGAAATGGACAACATCCCAGAAGTAGTTCATTATCCTGTCACTGAATCCAGGGTCTTTAGAGCTAACCTGTCACCTACACACAGCCATACAAGGGTAACTGCCACTATGGTGTATCAGCCCTTAGTGATATCACTAGTTCCTAGTGAATTGATAGGCTGAATATTGGTTCAGCTTACTAAATGGTGGCCTCCAGCATGTGTAGTTGACAGGTCCGCTTTAGATAAGTTGCCTCTGAAATAAATAATATTTGTGTTTACAAAAGGAAGAATAGGAAGAGGAAAGTATTAGTAAGTAAGTGTTAACTGATTCCATTCCAAGTGCCCTCTTCGTGCCGCGCTGTTCTGCTTTAAGTTTGCCTGGTTGTCTTCCTCTTCATCACTGTCCTCAGAGTCACCACTTGTGCTCTCTTCTTCCTCCTCTTCATCATCGTCCTCATCTTCCACCTCTTCCTCTTCTTCACTTTCACCTTCGCCTGCCACATTTGTCTCATATTTCTAGAGAGAGCAAACACAGAATGAATTCAGACTGTTATATGCATAAACAATCAGCTCTGAGAAAAGAATCACATTATCTGCATTTCATTTGCAGTTATGTAATTTGAATAAAAGAAAAGAGGTTATTAGAAAATATAAGCAGCTTACAAAAGATAAAAATGCATGAATTGTATTGTTGTATTCACTTAACATACTACCTCTCAAACTTGCTTTTTATTATTTAGTTATTTAGTTGCAACTTTATATAGTGTTGATTATAGATGGTAGATTATATGTTGATTTATGGGTGCTTAAAAGACCATTATAAAAAAAAAGACTGTATCATGGTAACTGCATGTGGGTAATAGCTTTTATAAACAGTATTAATATTCATATAAGTATAGAGATTTCTTTCAACCTTTGCTCTTCTATTGGGCTATAAACTTAAACTTAAAGCAGAGTTCCACTCATCCTGTCAAAAAATAAAAGACAGCAGCTACAAAACTGTAGCTGCTGACTTTTAAAAAACAGCCACTTACCTGTCCCTCGGTCCCATGGTGTGTCCCCGGCAGCCCGTTTTACCTGCCATCCTGAATTTCTGGAGGCCGGCATCTTCTGTGTGGGCAAGCAGCTGTGACTGCTTGTGGCTTCACAGCCGGGTACCCACTGCGCGAGTAGCGCTGCACTTCATGAATGGTCCTGTAGTCTTCTGGGACCTGTCACGTGTCCGAGAAGACTACGGGGAGGGAAGGAGGGAGGATCCATTTCCGATCGCCTAGGTGGTCTGACCGCAATTGGGAGCCGGTACCTGTCAAATTTGGGTACCCACTCCCCCCCACCCCCCAAAGGTTCCAATCCTTAATGGGGAGTGGGGGAGCAGTCCTTAAAGCGGAACTTCCCCTTTTGGGTGGAGCTCCGCTTTAAGCATTTCCTATAACTATACAGAAACACAAACTATCTGCTTTGCAATCCACATTCACCTACAACTGAAAAACATGTAAAATAAAGTACCATATTATAAAGCACCAATTATGGTCCATTGGTTAGGGAACCTAAAAATTACTTACAAAAGTGGAAGAGTTTATAATTACCATGGATAGTTAAAATAACTTTTATCAAAATTACCCTGATACCTACACTGTAAAATGGTCTACCAGTAGGAAACCTATTAAAATGCCTCTCAAAAATCTTAAATGTTACAACGGGCTCTACTTACCTTTACATGGAATAACACTAGACAGAGAGTAAACAGACAAGTACTCCTTGCTCAGAAATCTCAAGGAGGTCAAAATTTTCTAGATGTCACTAATTATTATTTAGAAGTCCACCTAAGTCATCTGACCTAATAATCTGTACTTCATCCCCTTGAGACAGAAGGTCTTTGGAGTGTGCTTATCCACACCAACTTCCTCATATAGACTCCCACTCCCAATTTTAGAGGCACACATTTCCTAGCTTTTCTGATTCATACCAGAAAAATATGGCCTTAATATAAAACAAAATACTGCTTGTGCGTACATGGCTGGAAAACTCCCTGCTTTGCTACTGAAATATGAGACAGAAGATGAATGGGGCACATGTCCCCTTTGCTGAACTATTATTATTGTTATTATTCAGGATTTATGCAACAATACAGTTTAATACAAGAGGGTAAGATGGACCCTGCTCCTAGCAGCGTACAATTTAATAGGGAGGAGCTGGTGGTACAAAAGGTAATAACTATGGGGGATGGACTGATGGGAGAAATAGAAGATTTGGTTATTAGCTGAAGGCAGTATAAGCTTCCTTGAAGAGAGAGGAGGGGGGAGGCTCTAGAGAAGTCCAGGAAATGAGCATGAGAGGACACAAGAGAGTTAGAGAACAGGAAGTCTTGGGAGGAGTGAAGAGGAAGGTTTAGGTGATATTTGGAGACAAGTTTGGCGATGTATTTTGGGGCAGAGTTGTAAATGGATTTATATGTTATTGTTAATGTTTTGGATTTTATTCGTTAGGCAGTGGGAAGCCAGTGGAAGGATTGGCAGAGAGGGATGGCAGACATAAAACTGTTGGTAAGGTGGATGAGTCTGGCAGCAGCATTCATGATAAACTGAAGAGGGGACAGCCTGCGATTAGGTCGGTCAATGAGGAGGGATTTACAATAGTTACGACAAGAGATAACAAGGGAGTGAATAAGTTGCTTAGTGGTTTCAATGGTTACAAACCATCATTTTCACAATTCATCTTTAAATGACCATCAAAATCATTGTTCACATATCTACAAATTAAAAACTATGCCCAGACTCTTACAAATAAATTAACATATATGGGACTTACACAACAATACCTAATTTCTGACATTTATAAACTTCTAAATACCATCTATGGTGACCCATTCCCCAAACATAAATGCATGCTCAAATATAAAATTTTACTCAAAAACTTACCAAAAACTAGATATGAAGACTAGGAAGACATATGGAACAATGTGAACAAATCATACATTTGCAGCCTATATAATGAGAACCAGTACAACATTCTGTTTCACTGGTACCATACATTAGAATTTCTTCTCATAGCTAATCTAGCAATACCCTCTACTTGCTGGAGATGTAACAACTCCATAGGTAACCTATATTATATATATACTAGGAATGTCCTAAAATATGTCCCTTTTGGGAAAATACCAAATCTCTGCTTGAATCACTACTCATTCAACCACTTTTTTTAGACCCAGCTCACTTTCTACTGGGCTTATCAATACCATCCATGACAATCTATACCATGTACTACACTCTACACCATGTTCTAACCACATCCAGGTGTCTGATATATTGAAATGACATCAATTTACACCACCATCATCATTAGATCTCTATAAATGCATACATGAAGTTTATAATGTGGACATTTTGACTGCCAGGTTAAATAACAACCTAGAGGTTTAATAAAATATGACCCATGTATCCTCATGACTATTTACCTCCTCCCCTCTCCTTCACCTCCATGTTACCCATACCCTTACACTAATTCCCTTTCCTTTCTCCCTTCCTTCCTGCTACGCCTATCCTTACATGCTATTTAAACTACTGTTATATCAATTGAATAATCTTCTATCTTTATTCCTCATTTATAGGATACTTTGAAATATGTATCATGTGTCAACTGTTTACCGACAATGAAAACCGTATGTTTTTATTAAACAGTTAGTACTATTTTTGTAACATATAAGATTTTTCAATAATATTTCAAGTTATTTACCTATTTTTATTGTATCACAAGCTCATAAGTATATTTTGTTGTATATCAATACACAGTTCCTAAACAGTACTTAATGCATAATATAAAATGGTAATAAACCTTCATTTGTGCTTTTTCCACATTTACATGCAGACCAAGCTGTTCTGCAAAATGACAGTTACAAGGGCTGCAACAAACTATAACATTGCAGGGATGCTTTGAAAGTTGACTTTTATTTATATATTTTTTCCAAAAGAAAACTGTTGCTTTAATTGCCTAAAAGGAAGCTGCAGCAAATTCATTGCAGAATGGCCAGCAAAGTCGCCCTCTTAAAGCAGAAATGAAGGCAGTTAACAAAAGAATGTGAGCAGGCAGGCTATTATCACAGAAGAGACAAGGACAATGCATGTCTGCTCGCAATCTTCTGCTGCATTTAAACTAAACTGCATATGTGTAGCTCAGTTTCCACTATGATCCCTGTGTGTCAGGATGACCTGGACCATTGCAGAGGAGGAAAGTTTAGTTTCTCTTTAAAGAAAATCAATAGCTCTACTGGCAGGCTCAACAGGTAATGAACTATATTAAGGGAAAGGGAGGGGGGAGTTATTGAGAGACTGCAACATATACTGTATGTAATTTTGCCTATAGTGTTTTTTTTTTAACTTTCAACTAAAACAACTATTCACCCATTTAACAAAGCATCAACATATACCTCCATTGGGTTAACTGTGATAGTTAAAGCAGAATCATCCCAGTCCATTTCAGTGTCCTTTGTTGTCTCTTTTTCTGGAAAGTCCTGTTGGTGAACTGCTCGCAATCTGAAGATTCCCAGTACAACAATAATCACCAAAATACTGATACAAGCGACAAGGACAATTGTTGTAGCACCTGGAGAGACTAAACAGTAATTTGACATATTAGCATTTCTTATACTTTTAAATAGTAAACTGAAAGAAAGCAATACAATAATATAACTCCTTGATAATTAGAAGTTTAAAGATTTGTTTTTTCTTTTCACTAAAGGTCTAATGTTTTGCCATTGCCATCATATTGTATCATTCATTTACTGACCTTATACACAAAAGTACAAAAGCTTTAGCATTAATACTAAAAGGACAGGAGATTCAAATTAAGGCTGAGTTTTACCACTTTTTAAAAAAAAAAAAACTATTGTTACAGTGTCACCGTGTGCTGCAATGTTCTCAGAAGAGAGAACACTTGCCTAGAGGAGCCTTTCAGGAGAATGTGTGCTACAGAGTCAAGGAAGATCAATAATGATGCCTAAATTCAAAGAACTGTTATAGAACTTAACCACTTGACCTCCAGAGGATTTACCCCCCTTAATGACCAGGCCTCATTTTGCTACTCGGCGCTGCACTAATTCAACTGATAATTGCGCAGTCATGCAAAGCTGCACCCAAACGAAATATACGTCCTTTTTTTCACACAAATGAAGCTTTCTTTCGGTGGTATTTGATCACCTGTGCGCTTTTTATTTTTCACGCTATAAACAAAAAAAGGCCAGAAATTTTGAAGAAAAACAATGTTTTTTACTTTCAGCTATAAAAAAATAGTAAACTCAAAGTTGGTTATAAATTTAGGCCAAAATGTATTCTGCTACATGTTTTTGGTAAAAAAAAAAACCCCAATAAGTGTATATTGATTGCTTTGTGTGAAAGTTATAGCATCTACAAACTATGCTATAGATACTGTAATTTACGCCATTTTTTTGCTATACAGCGCTGCGCTAGTTTAACGGACAATTGAGCGGTCATGCAATACGGTACATAAATTAAATTTACATCCTTTTTTTTCCCACAAATTGAGCTTTCTTTCGGTGGTATTTGATCGCCTGTGCGGTTTTTATGTTTTACGATATAAAAAAAAAGGCTGACAATTTTGAGGAAAAAAAAACAATATTTTGGACTGTTTGCTATAAAACATGTCCAGTAAAAAAAAAATTTAAAAATAAAATTTAGTCATAAATTTCTGCTAAAATGCATTCTGCGACATGTCTTTGCTAAAAGAAAAACCCAATACGTGTAAATTAATTGGTTTACGTGAAAGTTATACCGTTTACAAATGGCGGGAAAGATACTGGGATTTTTCGTTTTTTTTGTTATACTAATAACAGCGGCGATCAGCAACTTATGGCGGCGATCAGGGACTTATGGCGGCGAGCAGCGACTTATGGCGGGACTGTGGCAGACATTCTGACATTGGGGGGTACTGACTTGGGGTCACTGACATCCCCAGTGACACCAATACAGTGATCAGTGCAAAAAAAAAAAACACTGACACTGTACTAATGGCACTGGGGAGGAAGGGGTTAAGTTTATTTTGCAGGGAAGGGTTATCTGTGTGAGGGGGAGTGTTTTACTAGGGGGCGGGGGGTGTGTACTGCAGGGGACACGGCTGATCGGGAGAGATAAACTCTTCTGTCCCGATCAGCTTGTCCTGGAGCTGTCAGGGAACCGACAGAAAGCACAGCTACTGCAGCTGTGCCCTCTGTCAGCTATTGCCGCCGATCGGCGGGACATAGCCGGTAACGATCGTCTGTGACCCGGCGACTGACATCCGCAGCTGTGATCGGCGGGACAAGTAGGGCGCCTCGCGCGCGCCCCCTACCTGTTTACAAAACACACGTTTTAAAACGTGGTTTTGCCCCTGCCCGTGCCGCCCTGCCGCCGTATTTCTACAGTGGCTGGGCGGCATGTGGTTAAAGTGAACCTTAATAATTGAAACGTTTTAAACTAAGCATCTAGTCTAAGAGCAGACACCTCAAGATCATTTCTTTTACCATTACTAGTCAGAATGGCCTCTTTAATGCCCACTCTGATTTTGTTTACTTTATTGCTTGGACCTGACTTTTCTTGGCTTTATGACTTTTATCTCTCTGTCCAATAAGAGTGTTTTTAATGGCCATTGACACAGTCTTACTGGACTGTAGAATGGCATTTTGTTACAGTTGAGGAAAAGCCAGGTTCAAGTGACAAATTGACATTAAAGTAGAAGTCCAGTCAAAAGATAAATAAGCTTAAACCTGCTCCCACCCAAATTCTAGTCCCTATGCTAACTACTCTGTAAAGGAAAGATACTTACCTAATTTAAGGGTGCTTCAGTCTGGTCACATGATCTCCACAGCTACTGGCTTCAGGCAAAAGGAGAGAGAGTAGCGACAACAGCTGCAGAGCCTGGGAAATGATGTCACCCATGAACTTACTAAGGGGGTCACAGTAGAAGCTTTTTAGGAAATTGTTGTGATGTCATTGCAAGGATTACCTTAAACAACCTTTGTAGCAGAGTCCTACTTTTTTCTGTTCTAAAGAAAAAGCTGTTTATTTCACCAAGTTTTTTCCAGACTGATTCTTGTATGGGAGGGTCCGTATTCATTATAACCACCTGGTAGACTTTAATTGTTTTAATGAGGAGAGCTGCAGTGTCAATATCCCTTTAGAAGTAGTTAACCCTTAAGGGTTATGTTACCAAAAAAGAAATGAATTGCAGGGGATGCCTAATTTTATGTGTAGCTTAGTGCAGATGTCTGAGAAATTCAGTGATCCAGTCACACTAGCAGAAATTAAATTTCTGGGGATGTTGCATATGCCAGCAGTGTACAGGGCACCTCCAGGTTGCCATATTGCAATTAAGTTTTTTAAACTTTTTTTTGAAAATTACATTGACTTCTGATTAAAATGTAAAGACATTTTTTAGTAGCTTGTGTAGCTATTTTTATATAGTATTTTAAAGAAAGTGGAGTTATTCTTTGAGAAAAACAATGCTATTATAGACAGGTATTTGACTTCAGAAGTGATCTGCACACATTCCTAGCACACATTTTGATGTATGAGCAGTATGCGTGTTGGCGGATTTGAACAAACCTTCCAAGGTCTAGGTGCTCTGTTTTCAAAGTGCTTTCTAAAAAACGTAAAGTTGACCACTGAGTATTTCTCTTCTTCTAGACACCCAGCAAACAGTTTAACAACAGTTAAAGCAAATTAAAGCTGAACTAGAAAATGTTCTGGATTACCAGGAATTAAGTCCAATGAGGTGTATGCCACCTTGTGAATGTATCTCTTTAATTTACAATTTTTATTTTTACTGTGAGTACAGCTATCACTATATGTCCAATGCTCCTGAATCTGCAGAGTCCTCCTGCCCAGTCACAGAGTGCTTTGTATTATGTGGACCCATGCATAAAATACAAAGCTTTCTGTGAATGGACAGCAGAGTGAACTGGTGGGCAGAGGTGTTGCTGTATGAGAAAGTAGCATCTCTCCTGTCACAGCACTAGGAGCATAATGATGGCTGTACTCCTGGTGCTAAGTAAAATAGTGAGTTGTGAAAAAAAAAGAGATAAGCTCATGAAGTGGCATGCATCTTATTGGGCCCAATACTTAATACTTAACATACTTAACTTACTTAACCCATAGTAAGCCATAACATCTTGGACAGTTGCTGAATTCCTGGAATTCAGTTTTAAGGGGAGGCTTTTTTAGTAATATTCTAGTAGTAAACTGATATGAACGTTTTAATGAAAATAAAGTCTCCTGTTATTGTGTTCCAATGGAAGCTATTGGTCTGTTGGCCAAAGTGAATAAAAATATCATCATATTCCAATCAACATCAGTTGAGTGAGCAGTATTTGGTGAGTTTTCTAGAGGAACATCACTGTGTTTGATATTCACAATTGGACTATAGTATTAGTATAATGCCATTGTTTCGTCAACATAATGAAAACATTACTCACACTTTAAATAACAAGTAAAAGAATCAGATAGAACACAGTTAAGTAAGTGCAATGAAAGACTATTTGTATTTTTTGAAGAATATGATTTTATATGTTCCATCAATAATGAGTATAATGCCAGTCCATTAAAGCAGATCATCTTCTGCCATCTGCCACCTATTGGGTTATACATGCCATGCTTTGTTTGCTAAGTAACAGAGATAAGCCTTGCTTTATCTACATTCAGATCTGATAATAGTCTCAGAACTTTCTTCTTCCCATCTGTATTTAACAGCCAGCTGTTGCATTTAGAATTCCCATTGCTCATGTATTCAAATGATTCAGTATAGCTTAAAAATGTTTAATATTGTTGATACCACATCATTGTGTGATAATATTTTGTATTAGATCTAAACAGACTTTGCAATCACATGAATTCACAAGTAGAGATGGAATTTACATACCTCGACTTTCGTGTCCCAACACTTCAGTGTTTGGATCCTGAAGAGATGGCATGAACTGCGGCTGAATCACCATGTGATTTACATGCTCCATATAATTTGTATTGTGCAAAATATTAACCTACATAACAGAAAAAAATATCAATATTACTTACTGTATTTGGAATACTGTTATAATGTTATGTTTCATACATTTATGACATCTTTTCAGTCATATGTTTATATACTGACTTTTTAGGGTTTTGAGAAAATGTAATAGATATGTTTTATGGGCAGTTAGGATTTTGTTTTCTTTCACTTGCAATGCTAGTGCATATAAAATAATAATTTGTTTCTTAGTCCAGCTTTTTTCAACCAGGGTGCTGTGGCACCCTGGGGTACCTTCAGGGTTCTTCAGGGGTGCCTTGGCAAAGTGCCTAAAAGTTTCCCACATTGCCCAGTAATTGTCAACAATCTGGTGAATAAAGCAACCCTTATTTCGTTACACAAAGTCAAAAGTTTTCATTGTGCAATATTACAACTTGGGGAGCCATGTGGGCCACTGGCATCCTAGCAACCAATGACATCTTAGTTTGGTAAGTAGGACATTGGGTGCCTACAAAGTATTCTTATTTGCCCTTTCCCTTTCCACTAGCACTGGGGTCATGTTAGCTGAATGAAGGAGAGAAACTGAAAAAGAGAAACACTGGAATACTTGTCAGTACCAATGTGCAAACTGTATTTGCTTTGTAAGAATAAATTACCTTTAATGTTGGGTGTCCTACATGCTGTCCTACATACTGTATTATTAGCTTCATTTTTTGCATTTTAGAATAAGTGCCTTGAGATTGTGCAGAATTTTAAAGGGTGCCATGACTGAAAAGGTTGAGAAACACTGTCTTAGCCAAAATCATATCTACCAAATCATTTTAAGGTCATACTGTAGAAATGTTCCATTATATTTAAAGATTTTAGCAACAGATTTTTTGACCCTCGGGTGCCACACAAAAGGTGATTATCTGCTCATTTTAGATCTTCTCTTCTGATAAACAGTGCAAGGATTCTGTCTGATTGTCCTGCAAAATGCCATATGTATAGTGTATGTATGCCCAAAAGCTAAATTGATATTTGATTGATGCCCAATCTGTCTTTGTCATAATGAGGTTGTATGATTTTGATTCTTGGCCTGGAGACACTACAGAAAGGAAGACTGTTCAAAGTAAGCCCACTTTCCTTTCTAGACAGGTGTCATCTGAACATCCCATATTCTTGTTCTCTGGTGACAACTATAACCTTTTGGATTTTCCATTATTTCATGCCTCGGTGGTCAACAGAACAAACAGTGAGGGTGAAGTTCCATAGTGGGGACACAGAGGGTAGTTAGAAGCCAGGGGCTTCAAATCCTGCCAAAACAGATTTGGGTATGCATAAATTTTAACTGGTTGTTCATCATTCAGAAGTGATTACATTTGCATTCATTAGCTGGCCAAATCAGTGTGTATGTGGCTCTTATCCAATTGTTTCCACTGTTCAGAACCAAAAGGACAGATAGCGCTAACCCATATCACCATAATGTTTAATTCTGGCCATCACTGTGAATGTTCAGATCTAATGCAGCCAAGCAGAAAGCTAAAGGTGCTGGATATATATTTGATCATGATTCTTCCTCAGAATTTGGCTTGCCTAGGTGGCAACCTATGAGTTGCCAACTGGCAAATCTATAACTTCCATTAAAGGTCCTGATTCAGTCAGGCACTCCTACAACCTGAACCTCAGTTAAGTCCTGCTGGGGACACAGAGGATTCACCTAGCAAAATACAGAGAAACTAGCAGAAAAGTATTTCACATAAAAAAAAAACTTTATATAAATTAAGACACTGACTACAAAAGAGTATTTGATTCTCACGTTAAATAAAAAATTAACTCAAGGTGTAGTGCTAAGCAATAATGTAGCAATGTGTACAGATGGGTGCCAGTCACTTTTAGATGCAAAACAAAAGTAGTTTATTAACTCTCATTCAAAACTCCAGGGAGAGAGGTTAAGGGCACAAGACATCCCTGGACTATCAAACTCCGGAAAAGGGGAACAAAGTGCTTACAGCCTTCACAGCATTCACAGATGGAGAACCTTTAAGCTGACCCGGCACTTTGTGACTATAGCTTCTGACTCTAAAGCACTTATCATTTCAGCTGCCAACACCCTAAAGAGAGGACACTATAGTCCAGGGAGGTCCAAGCTTCCTACCCAAGCTTCTCCACACTCTCAAAGCATCTGGAGTTCCTTTGTGGCACTCCAATCCCTCAACCCCCCAAGCCCAGCCTCAAACCTAAGGGAGGGATGTTTTTAGCTGTTGAATCCTTCCAGGCCTGCTGCATGAGAGGGTGAGAATGTGCCTGGGAAAGGTCTAAGGTCCATCAATTCAGCTAAATTGACTTCAGGTTATCATCACTAAATTTAAATAGATACACCTACACAATACAAAAACTGGAGAACATTTCAGGGCTTTCTTTTGCCCACTTTTCTTTAAATGTAGTTTCCTTTTATCAGGATTCCCACATGGGGGACTCCTTGCTATATAGCAGCTAACTTCAAGATTCACAGCTCTGAGTCTAAAATGCAGATTCTCAATCCAGAACACAACAGTGTTCACACACTGCTTCTGCAGTCATCTGGTCAGTGCAAACAAACAGACGTCCTTCATGTGTACATGTGTTCCTTCATCTGCACTAAAAGGGTTGTGCACACCAACAAAATCAGGATTCTGGTTGCCTGTAAAACATGGACCCAGAGCTGAAAGCCTCATCCCGTCCAAATAATCTGCAAAGCTTCTGAACTCCAGGACCCTGATCAGGTTTTACCAAAGCTGGAGAAAACTGCCAAGCCAGTTTTTTCCTGTCAAACCAAATCCCCTGGAGCGTATATCCAGGGATTTTTACTTTCAGCAGGAACATAGGGGGATGCAGTTAAGGCACCTCCAGCACTGAATAAATGTAAAGGCAGGGGGGACTGGCATTGCTTGAGGATTTATTTTTGCAGGCTGCTGGGGGATCTATTGTCACAGAAAGGAGGGGAATTTATTGTTGTGGGGGGGCTCTTCTGTTGCTGGGGAAGTCTATTGTTGCTGGTGGGGTATCTATTGTGGCTGAGGGTGGTGTTATATTGCTAGGGGGTCAATTGTTGCTTGGAGGAATCCATTGTTCAGAGAGGGGACAATTGTTGCTGGCTGCTAGAGGGTCTATTGATGCTGACTGTTGGGGGATCTATTGTTGCTCATGGAGTCTATTGTTGCTGGGGGATATTTCTTTGTATGAGTCTATTGTTGCTGCAAGGGATCTATTTCTCTTCTTATTTACATGAACAAATTCCAAATTCCATACAAATTACTTAACACTACAAACTGATACTTGGTTCTGTATTCTCTAAAAGGTGCAGTACTGGGGATTGCGTATGAGTAGTACCAAGGAATGGTGTTAAGGGGTGGGCAAGAGGTGACTCAGAAGGGAGGAGGTATCTGCACTTATTCTCTGAAAACAAAAATCCCTGCATATATCAATTTCTTAATATGCCTATAGCATTTGTCTCTCTGGGCATTCAAAGTGCTTTAAGTTCTGCTTGGGCAGATGGTGAAGCAGCTATTTTGGGCAAGCTTATAGAATATAATATTTTGCCAACATTGCAATAATTATATGGATAAGTGTTGAACAAGAAATTAAAAAAATATTGAAATGAGCTAAAAAAGTCTGTGGAAAAAAAACACAGCTGGTTGCCAGGTTGGGATTCAATAGTTTGGGGGAAGACAGTGGTTCTATGCAATTCACCTCACTTTTTCAAGAGCACACGCTGAGTTGTCGTCTCTTTTATCTGTATCATCTCTTATCATATCAAGTATGGGTTTTTCCAGGTAGATGCCACCACACTGTATACTGAAATCAGAGGTGTATAAACCTCTACTTCCAGTTTTGTCTGCAAGGAGCATTTCACAATAAAATAAAGCATGCAAAAAGGGAGGGGGGGTGTTATAATAGTTTTATTTTTATATACTGTTTCCTGTTTTGTGTGAATTTACAAATGTGCTGCATAAATGTTACGTTTATATATTTTCATGATACAGAGGATCAAGCCAGTCTCACCACATGCCCCCTGGATCCTGTCCCCTCTCAACTACTATGGTCACCCTCTTCTTCTGTCCTATGCTCCCTCACTCACATCTTCAATCTCTCCCTCTCTAATGGTGCCTTCCCCACCCCTCTAAAGCATGCACACATCACCCCAATACTTAAAAAGCCCTCGCTAGACCCCTCCAACCTGAACAACCTAAGGCCCATCTCCCTGCTGCCATTTACCTCTAAACTCTTAGAACACTTAGTCTACAATTCCCTGAGCTCTTACCTCAGTGACAACAACCTTCTTGATCCTTTACAGTCTGGCTTTTGCTCACTACACTCCACTGAAACTGCCCTACTAAAGCTCACTAATGATCTACTAACTGCTAAAACCAATGGCCACTGCTCCATACTCTTACTACTTGGCCTCTGTGGCTTATGATACTGTTGACCATCCCCTCCTCAAAAAACTCCACTCTTGGCCTCCGAGACTCTGTTCTCTACTGGTTCATTTCCTACCTATCGCAGCACTCCTTTCAGCGTTACCTATAACTCTGTCTCCTCCTCTCCGCTTCCTCTTTTTGTAGGGGTCCCTCAAGGTTCTGTCCTTGGACCCCTTCTCTTCTCCATCTACACCTCCTCCCTTGGTTATTTGATAAACTCCCATGGCTTTAAGTTCCATCTCTATACTGATGACACACAATTCTATCTTTTTACTCCTCACCTCACCCCTTCATTCTCCTCTTGCATTACTAACCTACTAAGTGACATATTGGCATAGATGTCACTCCACTTCCTCAAACTAAATCTTTCTAAAACTGAGCTCATACTATTCCCTCCGGCCCGTTCACCCTCCCCTGACTTCTCCATCCAGATCAATAACACAATCATCATTCCCTCCCCTCATGCCAGGGTACTAGGTGTAATCCTAGACTCCCATCTGTCCTTTCAGCCCCAAATACAATCACTGTCCAAATCGTGTAAACTTCACCTGTGCAACATCTCCAAGATACTCCCATTCTTAACCTCTGAAACTACTAAGCAACTTATTCACTCCCTTGTTATCTCTTGCTATGACTATTGTAACTCCATCCTCATTGGCCTACCTAATTGCAGGCTATTCCCTCTTCAGTCTATCATGAATTCTGCTGCCAGACTCATCCAGCTTACTAACCATTCCATATCTGCTATCCCTCTCTGCCCATCCCTCCACTGTATTCCCATTGCTCAACGAATAAAATTCAAAACATTAACAATACCATATAAAGCCATTTATTTAAACTCTTGTCTCCAAATATCACCCACACCATCCTCCCCGCTCCTCCCACGACCTCCTGCTTTCTAGCTCCTTTGTCTCCTCCTCCCATGTTCATCTTCAGGACTTCTCCAGAGCCTCCCCCATCCTCTGGAACTGTCTACCCCAATCTATCCAACTATCGCCTACTCTGTCCACTTTTAGGCGATCTCTGAAAACCTATCTCTTCAGGGAAGCCTATCCTGCCTTTCAGCCAACAACAGAATCTTCTATTCCTTCCATCAGTTAATCCCCCACAGTTATTACCTTTTGTACCACCAGCCCCTTTCCTCTTAGATTGTAATCTCCAAGGAGCAGTGCCCTCCTAATCCTCTTGTATTGAACTGTATCGTTGCTGTATTGTCTCCCTTTATATTGTAAAGTGTCGAGCAAACTGTTGGCACTATATAAATCCTGTATTATAATAATAATAATAATAATAATAAGCTAATTTTCAGCATTATATGATCAAATTCTTAGCCATGCTTTGCCAATATACAGAATTTGTATTAATTTCTATTTTTTCATAAAACAGCCATAGATGTACCTTACCTCAAGATTAAATTCATTACTTGTATAACGCCCATTTAATTCAGAGCACTTGACTTTGAACTTTCGGCCAAAGATAGCAGCAGAATCCCAGTGACGATAGCGGATTTGCTGCAGGACCTCTTCATAGTTTTTCATTGTGTCTACACCTGAAAAATTGGAGAAATTTAATAATATGATTCATGAAATAAACACTTTAAAGTGAACTTACAACCATCCTTAATAAGGAAAAAAAAAACAAACCCACATGTCTTGAGAGTTGCTGTTTTATAAATGAAAAAAGTTTGAAGGAACCTCTTGTAAAACCTAGCATGAGCGCTATCAGGAGACTGCACGGTCTTGCTTTGCAGGCTTTCTGTAGCAGATAAAACCTTCTATTTACATATGTCCCATGGCATTCTTTACGTACCATAGATTGAATAGCCCTTGGTCGAATTGGTGGCATCAAGATGTTTCCCTTGCAGTGTACTGCGATCCAGCTCCAGACATTCCTGTTTGGTGTTCAGCTCATCTCCCATAACCAAGACATCACAGAAATCCAAATGATGCAGAGTTTCCTCCAACACCATTGCACCTGGAGAGGACAAGAACACAGAAAAGTACAATTAGGATTGCCGATGCTTACAGTACAAAATGTACAAAACAACATAAAGCTGATAATAAAATTATATGGGGCTATGACTGATATGAACCTTTATTTATTGGTTATAGTTAAAAAGACTGGCTCAACTAAATTGATATTGTAGTGTTAGTTATTGCTGAAAAGTTAAACTGTGTAACTGTTTCTTATGTCTGGGGACTCGGTGCTAATCAGTCAATCACATGGCAGCAACTCAATGCATTTAGGCATCTAGATGTGATGAAGACAACTGATAAAGTTCAAACCAAGCATCAGAATGGAGAAGAAAGGAGATTTAAGTGAATTTGAACATGGCATGGTTGTTGGTGCCAGATGGGCTGGTCTGCGTATTTCAAAAACTGCTGGTCTTCTGGGATTTTCACGCACAACCATCTCTAGGGTTTACAGAGAATGGTCCAATAAAGAGAAAACATCCAGTGAGCAGCAGTTGTGTTGACAAAAATGCCTTGTTGATGTCAGAGATCAGAGGAGAATGGGCAGACTGGTTTGAGATGATAGAAAAGCAACAGTAACTCATATCAATATGGATGAAAATCTCTTAGGAATGTTTCCAACACCATGTTCAATCTATTCCACAAAGAATTAAGACAGTTCTGAAGGCAAAAGGGGGTCCAACCCAGTACTAGCAAGGTGTACCTAATAAAGTGGCTGGTGAGTGTATATGAGGCTTCGCCGAAGAAGACCCACTTCAGTGAGGCCACATATAAGTACAGGCACAGGGAAGGGGTTAAAAATCTGGATTGGATTTTCCTCCCCCCCACCATCCTGGCGCCCTAAGGTGGTTGACTAAGCAGCCTTATGCTGGCACCAGCCCTGGAATGTATTAAGCTGATTTAAACTGGGAATTCATTTGGGCTTTAGGATTCACTGAGAGGCTACTCCCACAGGTATTTGTGTCTGATTTATTTTTTATTATTATTATATGATAGAATAGTGCATTAAAGCCCACCCTAAATGTCTGTTTTAATTTTGAATCGATTAGGGAAGGATTTAAACCTCTGTTTAGTATTAATGCTGCCTACATCCCTGTTAGGTAGATTCCCCTTCACATATCGCTCTCTATGACATCAGCCACCTATACTGGAAGTGAAGAAAATTGTCCTCAATAAGAAATAGATTTGGCTAAAACTTTTTTTCATGAAATGCTGATGCTGCTGAATCTAGACACAGATCAGTGTCATATGAATAACACAATACATCATCGTCGCTTGGAGGATCACAGAATATTTTAAGACATATCAAAAGAAGTAAACAGTGATTTTCGAATTTGAAGCAGCACTCTGATATGCTGTCAGTAAATTATATATGTACTTTGTGAATGTGATTGTACATGTCATGTTAGGCACGTTTTCACATACATCCCTACACTGTGCTAATAGACTGAGGCAATATTGTAAATTTAAATGAATGATAATTTATTCACAGCATGCACGAATGATATTAATTTGATATTGGTTAGCAGTGAGGAAAATATAGTGCTTTAACTAGGGTTAGCAATGTCTCTGTGAATAATCACAGTTTAAAGCTGAACTACAAGCAGACATAGAAAAAATTACTATAGCTGTTAGTTCATAAAACAAAATTCTTAAATGTTTACCCATCACATATCTAATATACGGTATGTACATAAATGTGTGTTGATATCAGCTCCCAGCAATCCCCTATACAACAGCACTTAGACTGACAGAAGGAGGGGCAACACTCTTAGTCAATCATGGCTGCTTTGCACAGTGCTGAACATGCTCATAGGAAAGTAGAGTATAGGAAAAACCTCTTCAGTGTGATGACACCCCTTTATTGTCCAATAAAAGCCTAAAGCCAGCCATATACAGTTCAAATCTCAGCTGGTTCATCAGGGACTGATTGAGATTTGAACCATGTATGGGCAGGCTGAATGCACCCAAGTTGACCAATCGATAAACTTGGTACAACCGGTCTGTCAGATTTTACATGCGATTATTGCCAGCGGCTATTATTGCCACTAGCAGTAATCACTATGTTCTCCCAGCTGGAACGACTCCCCTTGCCCCCCCACACCTCTGTAGAGTAAGTGTGAGATGGGGAAACAGCTCTCATTGTTTGAACACTGTTTGTGTGCAGTAAATTATTGTGTGGAGAAAATTAAATGTTCTGGAATGACATTCTGCGGTTTAGCCACAAGATGCCACTGTTTTCCTAACACAGCCTCAGACTGCATAGATATTTCTATATTCATGAAGAGGTGGGGTTTTTCACACAGAGTTTAGAGGACAGGAAGGAGAGACAGCAGTCATGTTTTGGAGGATGGTGAATGCAGGAGCAGAGGAACAAAGCAACATACACTGCGATACCGCATGCTTGTTGGAGAGACATTTGTTCTGTTCAGAGTCACCAGCGGATGCAAAGCAGATCTGAGTCAGTAAGATCGTGCACGCACCTCATTTCAGTGTTGGCGCCTAGAGACTGAGTCCAGGCCTATAGTTAGTTAGGGTCTCTGTTTGTGTCAGGCCACAAGTGTTATTACTGATCATTGGAAGGACTCCATAACTTAAAGTGACATTTCACATTGGAGAGCTGATAACATCTCAAAAAACTCAAGCCAGACTGGCGTTTTGCTCAGAAGGAATACTCAGGCACATGCTACAGGACCAGTTATGGGAGGGGGAATACTGTAGATTTGTGTAAGATTGTAAGCTGTTGTGCTGCACCGCAGGCTAACCCATACCGTACACCCATACACTGATTCCTGCTCTTTTAGGGTAATAACGGGTAAGGTGTGGCAGCTTAGTTGTGCCCGCCAGTAGATACTACACCTTCTACTTTCATCCATCAGGAGGTGCCCTGCTGTGCAGCACAAAGGTCTCAGCTAGAGATGAGCGAATTATTCAAAAATTCGATTCGGCTGATTCGCCGAATTTGCGGAATAAATTCGATTCGATGCAAATTTATTCGCTGAGAATTTAACTTATTAAAAGGGTTTCTAGGCTTCAGAGAGCCTTTATATTAGTGCAGAACACTGTACCTTTAATTTAAATGCCCTTGGAGTCTGCTGGGGGAAGAGAACTAATACTGTCAGTCAGTATGACATGCAGATGAGTGCCGTCGATCTTAGAATCACCGCACACTTCACTCATTTGGGCAGTCACGGGGCACGACGAAGAAGATGAAGAAGAAGATGAAGAAGAAGAAGAAGAAGAAGATGAAGAAGAAGAAGAAGAAGATGAAGAAGAAGATGAAGAAGAAGAAGATGAAGAAGAAGAAGATGAAGAAGAAGATGATGAAGAAGATGAGGATGAAGAAGATGATGAAGAAGAAGAAGATGAAGAAGAAGAAGATGAAGAAGAAGATGAAGAAGAAGAAGAAGAGGAAGAAGAAGAAGAAGAAGATGAGGATGAAGAAGAAGAAGAAGAAGAAGAAGAAGAGATGAGGATGAAGAAGAAGAAGAAGAAGATGAAGAAGAAGAAGAAGATGAAGAAGAAGATGATGAAGAAGATGATGATGAAGAAGATGATGAAGAAGAAGATGATGAAGAAGAAGAAGATGAAGAAGAAGAAGAAGATGAGGATGAAGAAGAAGAAGAAGAAGAAGAAGAAGGAAAATAAGAAGAAGAAGGAAAATAAGAAGAAGGAAAATAAGAAGAAGAAGAAGGAAAATAAGAAGAAGAAGAAGGAAAATAAGAAGAAGAAGAAGAAGGAAAAGAAGAAGAAGAAGAAGAAGAAAGAAAATAAGAAGAAGAAGAAGAATGAAAATAAGAAGAAGAAGAAGAATGAAAAGAAGAAGAAGAAGAAGAATGAAAAGAAGAAGGAGAAGAAGAAGGAGAAGAAGAAGGAGAAGAAGAAGGAAAAGAAGAAGGAGAAGAAGAATGAAAAGAAGAAGGAGAAGAAGAAGGAGAAGAAGAATGAAAAGAAGAAGGAGAAGAAGAATGAAAAGAAGAAGGAGAAGAAGAAGGAGAAGAAGAATGAAAATAAGAAGAAGAAGAAGAAGAATGAAAATAAGAAGAAGAAGAAGAAGAATGAAAATAATAATAATAAGAAGAAGAATGAAAAGAAGAAAGAGAAGAAGAATGAAAAGAAGAAGGAGAAGAAGAAGGAGAAGAAGAATGAAAAGAAGAAGGAGAAGTAGAATGAAAAGAAGAATGAAAATAAGAAGAAGAAGAATGAAAATAATAAGAAGAATGAAAATAAGAAGAATTCCAGTACAGCAAAAAGTGTATCTGCAGACACGCTATTTCTGACAGTTCTCTGACAGTTCCTTCACATTTACAGCGGTTGAAACATTGTATCTATTTGTTTCCGAATAAAAACATCTGTATCCTAAATGGAAACAAATAGATACAATGTTTCAACCGCTGTAAATGTGAAGGAACTGTCAGAGAACTGTCAGAAATAGCGGAGCTCTCTGCAGGGACACTTTTTGCCGGCTGTAGAAGGGATGAAAATCGGCCGATCGGGAAAAATTTGATTCGTGCATCCGAAGTTTGCTAATTTTCGGATTCGATGCGAATCGAATTTTTCCTAATATTCGAAACGAATTCCACTTCGCCAAGTTCAATTCGCTCATCTCTAGTCTCAGCCTTTGGGCTGGGTGTATGTAAATGTATTGTATGTTCTCAGCATTTGTGGTTGTGTTTATTTGCCACATCTAAGTAAAATTCTGTTGTGGCAAAAGCTGGTGTTGAGGTTGCTTTCCTCGTTCGTGACTTCACTGTATCCTGGGGAGCCCACCCAGGTACACTGCTTACATAAGGAAGGGTTAAAAATCATGTCCATTTTTTGGCCATTTGTATCCCATTCTGGAGGTTTCATTTTACTTCCTGTCTCATAGCCAGAACAGGAAATTGTCTCCAAACTGAGGGAAATCCCATCCATAGACAGTTGTCATGAGAACTGGTGTCCCCATTGGAAGATTTTGAAGATTTTTGTTCTGGTGATAACTCAAAATTTGGGATTTTTGTTCACTTTCACCAAGTCAGCAATACAAATAGAGAGGGTTCATCTCTCTAGAAGAAACAGATTAAACATAAATAAAAACCTGGCAGGTATTTTATTCCATTCCCCTCTTTCCAAAACTAAAACAACAAAAAAAAAGGTTTTTGTTGCACTGTGTATGTTTGTAATCCAGTTACATATTTTATGGGATTTGTAGTTCTACACAGAACTCCATAATAGTTTGCCAACCATGAGCTTAGATATTCCAACGCACTAGAATGGTACCCCAAAAATTATTTAACCCTTTTAAGCACCACCCTAAAGCATATATATATATATATATATATATATATATAGGGGCAGACTGACAACTCATGGGGCCCCTGGGCAATATGGGATCATGGAGCCCCTGTGTCCTTGCCCAAACTCAAAAAAGCCTATGAAAAAGGTACCAGGGGCATCTCATGGGGTCCCCTACTGACCCCGGGCCCTCCGGCAGTGCCCGAGTTTCCAAATGGTCCCCTGTATATATATATTCATGATCTAGAGCTTGCAATGTTGTAGTTCCAACCATCATACTGGACGAAATCAATGAATGTAAAACTCATTTTATGAACAGAGATAAGTTTACCTGTTTTCCCACTTGCCAAGACCTTGCTAAGAGTGGGTGAATCTTCAATGATTCTTCAAAGTATGACGGTGCCAGTTTGCCCAAATAACAGTGCATTAGGTAAATCAACTGATACACACTGATGCCCACTGAATGGCATATGCCTACACAATGTTAGATTTACCCATCCATGGTGAGTTGAGAATTTATTTAATCTCCTTACTTATGAGATAGCAATTGAATGTACCTTCAAAATACATTCAGAGCTCGTTCACACTCTACTACTCCATGTGTTCCAATAATGCACGTGCGTTAATATGTGTTGTGTCACACATTCATTTTCATTTGTGTTAATGCATCCTATTCAAATGAATGGGCTTCCAATGGATTAAATGTACAAAAAAAAATACACTCAGAATTTTTTTATGACTCAGCAAATTACAACTCATGGTAGAGCAACACATTACCATCAGAAGTGTGTTGGGGTGGCATTACAAATGAATCTTACTGCAATGCATTTCAACAGAAAAGTGTAAAGGGGCCATCAAATACATCTGTCTACTCTGCAGAGAATCATTTAAGCTAACAAATACAATTGACTATGTTGCTGAATTACATGATGTTCCAAAACTACAGATCTGCAACACTGACAGTTGCACCTATCTTTGCTTGTGGTAACCTATTAGTACATACCCAGCAGCACTTTTCCTCATAAATTGAGGCTTTAGGCACTTTCCATAAGTCTGAACTAAGGAAAGATTTTCTAATTTATATAATTGCAACAGTTTATCATAATTTAATGAGTTTTACATAGTAAAAGGAAAGGCTCTCTGCAGGAGAACTTTGCAGTTTAAAGAATAGATATGAATCACAAACAGATATGACAGTGCAAGGTCCTGCCACTATGAAAAGGGACCTAAACGGACACAGAGTTTGTGCCAATGCAGAGTCATCTTTCTCCTGATTTTGATATTCCCAGATTGGGTTCTCCAATTTGAAGATTTCAAAGAGCTTTGGGAGATGTACAAATGTGCACAGCCTTTACACCGTAATGACAGGTTGGAGCATAACTCAGGGCTCCTGTTAGCAGACATGTATGTTCTGTTCAAGAGACAGTACTCCATGTTGTATTCAAGAGGTTCCTTGTCCAGAGGGCTGAGAGAGTGTACGGGTAAAAGGGGAAGCCTTTATTAGCCCCCCCTTTACGTCATGGGACCGTGGTGGCGTCACTGTATCTCTTAGGGTCATTGATTTATATAAGGTAATTTTGCTTGGTCAGTAGGGGTAGAAGGTTCTGGAAGATTTTGAGGGGCCATCAGTGATAGGTCAATCAATGTCACATGGCTCCCCAGAATTTTCCAGAACCCCTTTCCGTCCCTATATAAAGGAGCTCACGATCGGGGTTTTTGCCAGTCATCAGAGAGGGACCATCATGAGGAGCTCCCTTCCCAAATGACCCCCCTCATTTCGGCTAAGATATGTGGTGGGTCCCTTTGGAGTCTATCACATAGGGACTTGTGTAATGCTTAATGCTTGTTCAGCCCCAGTCTTAGTGGCTGGGCTAACTTGTGTCAGTATAGATTTGATTATTTATTTAAATAAAGTTATGGTTTGTAATAAAACAATTATAAGATGAATATTAAACCAATTAACCTGACCGTGGCTATATTTAATCCAATTTGGTTTGTGTAACGTTCATTGTTCGTTGCGTGTTTGCTGATTTTTTGGCCTGCCACCTGTGGTCCCATTGAGACAGCTAAGCAAGTCTGGAGAACTAAGAGAGTTGATATGACTAAGCAAGTCAAAAGGACTGAAGGAACCTTGAGGTTTCAGAGGATTGAAAGACCCTGGGGTGTTAGAGATCCCCTACCGAGAAGCCAAGGCATGGGCCTGTACAGCAGGAAGCTATGACTAAAAAGACTGAGACAGCCCAGATTGCTGAGATAGCCAGGAAAGCTTGGTGAGCTAAAAGAGGGACTCAGGAACACAGAGGTACTGTGTGAGGTGGTTTGAGGGATCAGGCAAAAGCCAAAGGCCAAGGTTTTAGGCCCATGCAGTGATGCTGCTGAACAGAGAATGTCAGATGGTTTGCCATTATTTTCATAGATCCTTTTTGGCGGCGAAACCTGCCTGCATGGTAAACTACTTTTTGTTGGACTTTACATTTGTTTAATACATGTGGGCCATCAAGCCCTAAACATTGTATGTAGTGTTATTCTCTGTTTAGAACAGCAATTAAAAAATTTTTTTACTTTGTAGCCCTATTCTCTGTTGATCCCATCCTAGCAGTTACTGGCAGATAAAGTTATAGTTAAAGTAGATCTAAACTGTAACTGGATATATTTATAAAGCAATGAATATGACATTCACCAAACATTCAGGGTAGATAAATGTTCTTGTAAATATGTATTAAAATACACTAATTTATTAATTTGTAGTGAATGTCTAGTAAATATATTTACTGCCCTAAAAAATGCCCTTTTTTTTCACTAAAGCACTGCTCATCATAAGCAACTCTAATGGTTTATTGTTTCATAAAATATTAATTTCACATATTTTTCATCCTTCTGTGTAATTGCTGCTGATCTCATGCAAGCTCTTTTTTACATGCACATGCATATAGTCTGGTGTTGGCTGCAAATCATTGCTCTGGTCTCTGATAGTGACAATGGGAGGACATGTATGTGCAATGTGTGTGAGCACAGCATGGCCACTTGTAGTCTTCATCAGGGGCACATGTGACAAGGTGACAACACAGGAAAAAGATGGGAGTCAATTGTCACCCCATAATTGGAAGTTTAAACAAGAACCTCCAAGCAGGATCATCAGATATTACTTAAAGTGGAACTTTAGTCAGCAAATGAAGTCCCGCTAGATCACTTCAAGCTGGTCATTTGTGCAGGTATAATTATGTAAAACATTACAAATGAGTGCCTATACTGTTTAAATCCAATAATATACCGTTTCACCACATGCTTAGTTGCTCTCTATTAGTTAGCACTGAGCCAAAAATGTAGAGACAGATCTGCGGACAACCTAAAGATTTACTGCAGCTCAGGTGCTCTGGGCTTCAGCAAAATGACAGCCTCTGGTAAGAAGAAACAGGGTCAATGTTGTAGGCAATTTACAGCACACACTCATTTTAGTAGCATAATTATTAATGTATAATATATTTTCCTTGCTAAAGAACCTTATTTTTTATCAAGTTGTTATAGGTAAAGTTCAGTTTTAACAACAGCTGCATTTTTAAAAAATGTGAAAACCTTACTGATTTTAGAACCTTTAGGATTGGGTTCCAGGATATCACACCATAGAAAAAAACAGCTCATTATGCAATACAAAATCCAGCAATCTCAGTGCCTAATACTAAGGCTTGCGTTTAGCTTATATCAGACATGCAGCATCTGTGTTCCTCGGAAAATGCATAATGTGTCATGCTGAACCAACTTACTTTTGCCAGAGTTCTTATCCAGACGTTTTTCCATCTTAGTGACTGTGCTGATGATTCTGATATCTGGAAGCAAGATCACACCGTTTGCATTCTCAAATTCTGAAGCTGGACGAGCAAAGTGATCCATTCCACTGACTGTAATCTTGGGTTCATTAGCCTGAAGAACCACAACATATGCTTCGATGTCTGGAATGGTGATACAGATATCTTCTCCAAAGCACCTGGAATGCATAATCATCATTACTGACAGAACTCTTAAATAACTCTACTCACAAACAGCTTAGTACTATTGAATATTAGAAAAAAAATGTACTTTTCTCGTTGCCTTTAGGTTTACTTTTGGAGGGTTTGCAACATGACTGTTAGAGATTAAATATTAGTTTTAAAGGTAGGATCTGTAAACCTGGCCAAACAGAGTAGAGAGAAGTTGAATGTCAAGTCATCAAACAGATTATTTTCTTCTCTGAAAGCGATAGACATACATGTTTTCATTCAAGAAGCATAGGAGCCCCCAACACCATTCTTATCTCTGAGACCACAATATAAAGCTTGACTAAATACTTCTCCTGCCAAAAATCAAAGTGAAAAAAGATGTATAAGGACTATAGAAGCGCATGATCATTTCATCCTTATTTGGTTCTGCTGATTCCACATAGTTATAGGTTCTGCAATCACTGAATATACCGTATATGCAAATCTTAAGGGATTAGTTTGCCCAATTTTAGAATGGAACATGTAACATGTTACCACTGCTGCAGCATCTCCCCGACCCACTGCCTTTAGTGACAGCCAGGTATGTTCTCCCCGAACTCACTGTGACAATTTTTACGAAAATGTGGAAACCTTGGCTTCGCCCACCGGCTGATTTTTTTCATTCACATATTTCTGTGAATGGGGAGAACTATAAGTACCGACACTTTTGTGGCTGTCAGCTTGTAGTTCTCAATGAACTACCAGGGTGCTGTTGAGCACTCTAGGTAGTTCATTGTTTCTTCCTGTCATTGTGTAACTGCCTGCCCATACAAGATATGAGCAGACAGCGCACACCGACAGTCTGCAGGAGTCCTGCATTCAACCAGTGATCTACTGATGTGGGTGAAATGTTTTCCAAGCCCCTAGTAAAAAAAAAAAAAAATAATAATAAATGCACATTTTTTTAACCTGAAAAAGATGTGCATTTTTTTTGTTTGTTTTTTTTTTACAACAGTGAACTCATCCTTTAAAACTTATCTTTAGCCAGAGCTTTGTTTTTTATCTACCCCAAAGGGTAGATTCACCCTCTATTTTTTCTGATGGCCACTGTCATTGACACTTAGAAAAAAAGTGATAGGTAATCTAAAATATATGTCACCAGTACAGTATATAAAATTCTACTTGTGTGGGGAGGGATTGGTTACAATACACCATATCCAATTTATATCAATGTAAACAGCTATTTCATCCCTGAAAGCAGAGATGAGGGAAAGGAGAGAATGGATCCTCTGGAACTTTATTGGTAAGCGCAGACAACAGCATAAAATATTTTGTTACCAAATTTTATCAATACCCATTTAGGCAGGGAGCAAACCCAGTTGTTCCATAGTTGGTAATCAAGTATATACAATAAAAACAAGATTGTGGACATTTTCTTAGGTGATTTATTTAGTAAACCATCCAATTTAACTAGGACATATAAATTCTCTTCATTGAGCAACAAAGTTTACTCCAATTTTTCAACATGTTCAATCAGGATATACCTCAATTTACATTCCACCCAAAATGGATCCATGCAAATATAGAGATCGCCCCCTGTCATGCCTCCAATGCACTTTACAAAATGAAACTAAGTGAAATAGAATCTCTGTGCAATGTGGTACAGACAGCAAAAAATAAACTGTCTTGGGTTTTACTCTTCCCTACTCTATCCAAAACTAGAAGGAAAAAGTTGATTTTTAAAACTTTAGGAATTGCCAGCCTATTTCAAAGCACACAAGAGAACTTTGGTACAGGAAAAACACTTCCAGTATTTAATAATTGAGCTTACAAATCTTAAAATCTTCATTCTTGAGTTAATTTATTATTGCAGTGCAAAACGCAATAGGGGATTATAATTAGATGCTGTATACAGCAATAAAGCCACAATACTTGACAACCAAGGAGTCCAGTGTTTTCTGGATCGACCACATATGTATAATGACATCTGATATAAGTCATAGCCAAAGGACATGTAGAACTGGGTGAACATTTTCTCATATACGATTCCAATATTTGTTTAGATATGAAATAAATTAATAACTGTTAGATATGAATTAAGTTAGTAATTAGTAACAGATTTATTCCACCCATACCTAGGATTATTATAACATATGATGTCTAAAACTCCTTAACTATGCTTTATAATCATCCAATATGTGGGCTCATTTAAAGACAAGACACTGCATATATTAATCATTTGCAGAAATTACAACTAAGGCCTGCATATCACATCTATAATCTGGGAGAAAACAGCAATTAAATGATTTTCCTGTCATCATAACTAGTGGCTTCTATTTCCACATCACATTCACACAAGTCCAGGTTAAATATAAGTTAGCACAACAGTGACCGATCTTTATCAGTGTGAGTCACTCCTATATGAAACAAGAGACAGTGAGCTCCATTAATTAAGAAAAACAAAATTTAAATAACCTTTATTAACTCTGTTAAATGTTTTAATAAAATGATATTGTTTAGGAAACATTTTCTTGCCTTTCACATTATGGGAAGGCTATAACAGAAAAATCAGAGGGCACCTGTAAAGCATTCTCTGCAAGAGCTGAAAACTACACATGACTTATAAAGCACAGGTAGGAAACCACTTGATTATCATACCTTCTTTTGTCTTAGTCTTATTATTTAACCAATGAAATTATATTTTTTGAATGGATAAAAATAACAGCATATGTAAGGCATACAGTATGTAGAGTTAGCCTACAAACTTTCAAATCTAAAGCAGACTTCTCAGAATTCAGCCAAGCTCTAACATACTCTGGCTTACTATAGGTTAAGATCAATAAGGTGCATGCTACCTCATGGATTATCTTTCTTTTATATCTGAGAGTTTTATTGAGTGCTGGCAGTACAGCTATCTCCATAGTCCCATTATTCTGACAGGGGAGATGCTGCCTTCTCATACAGAAGCAACACTTTCTGCCACTGCCCACTGCTGCCCATTCACATAAGGATTTGTATCCTGTGAATGTGTTCACATACAAAGTGCTCTGTAATTTGTAAGAAGGAGGAGTGGGCACAGCAGCTGCATATGAAACTGCAGCTGCAGGACCTGAGACCAGAAAGTACTATTCAAACTAAGCTAATTCAGAAAATGTTATTATTACTTGCAATTATCTCTCTAACATCACACTGATGTCTGACCACTCTGTATATGTCAGTTTCTGGCTTGGTTAGTTCAAAGCCGACTTCTGCCAGGGTTAATCTTTAGCTGAATCAATATATAAATAGCTAACGGGCATTTAATTAATATTTCAGCAGAAAGCTTACTACAAGTTAATTAGATGGCTCTCCATTTAATTGTTATCACCACCAACATATGGTTCTCTGCAGTAAAATATATCTACAATAACCAGTTTACAGTGATAGAGATATCTTGTTAAAAGTCAATCAAGCACACTTAGGACATGAGATGCATGTGAGAGCTGTTGGAGCCTTCTTACGTATATCTTTATTATGTGTTTCAAGTTGTAAACTGTATACACCTGAGAACATAGGATCTAAACCAAAAATGCTCATAATAGCCCACTTTTTAAAAAAAATACAGCAAAGCCAATCTTCTGAACCTTGAAATCTGGTCTATCACTACATTTGTTGGGTTACCATTAACATTGTTAACATTGTACATTTCATAGATATACAGGAGTTAGACAAAGAATAGAAACACTACACATTTGCAGGTGTGAAAGTTACAACATGTTTCCTGTTGAAAGCAGAAGTGAGGTAACATTCTTTTGCTTCCACTGTGTGATGAGACACCTAGCTAACAGGTGGGAAGTTTCACTTTCGTCATTCACTGTATGTGCTGCTTGTAATATGGAGTCATGTAAGAGCTTATTGAGCTTTAAAGAGGGCAAATTCTTAGTGCCCGCTTAGCTGATGCCTCTGTGACTGAAGTTGCCAATTTATTTGCCTTGTCACGAGGTACAGTATCAAAGGTTTATGATAGGATATACAGTTTCCGGTAAAAAACGTCATCTGATAAGCATGAGATCAGACGACATGGTCCACTGACTAAAAGAGACAAAAGGACATTCAATGAAGACTGAGATTGAGCTCTGCAGTCATTTTTGCAGCCGCTGTTTTCTTATTCCAGGTCACAATCCTGTACAATGTCTTTTTGTCTCTTTCGGTCAGTTGGCCATGTCCACCATGATTATGCTCATCAATTGACTTTTCCCGGAAACTGTATATGCTGTCATAACCTCTGATACTGTATCTCATGATACAGCAAATAAATCAGCAACTTCAGTCACAGAGGCACCAGCTAAGCAGGTACCAACAATTTGCCCTCTTTGAAGCTCAGTAAGCTCTGACATGACCCCATATAGCTAGCAGCACAAGCAGTGAATGACGAAAGTAAGGTTGGAAGCCTGTTAGATAGGTGTCTCATCACACAGCAAAAGCAAAATAATGTTACATCACTTCCACATTCAACGTGAAATATGTTGTCACTTTAACACCTGGTGTGAGGAACCTCGGGGCTCACGGCGGCGCACGGGTCGGTGCATGCGCAGAACGCCGATGCGCACTAGCTGGTGGGCACTAGGACTTAGACAACAGCGGCCACGCATGCGCACTCGCAATCGCGGGACACGCACCTGGCACCAATGTCAGTGCAGGGCACGCTATTTAAACCAGCCCTGTGTATAGGCAAATTGCCATATGGTCTTGTTCCCTGTTTCCTGCTCGTCTGTTCCTGTTCGATATACTTGTTGCCGACCCTGCTTGATCCTGATCCCTGCTGACCGTCTCCTGCTCTGACCCCTGGCTTGTCCTGACTATTCTTCTGCCTGCTTCTGATTACTGAATCTTCTGTTGCTGAACCTGGCTTGTGACCTGACTACTCTCCATCTGCCGCTCTGTACCGTTCTGCCTCCGCTGTTACCGATTTGGCCTGTCTGACTACGCTATACGTACACTGTCATCCATCCATCCATTCTGCACGGATCCAGTCACTGCTGCCCTGGCC